CAATGAGTCGATGCAATCAGCTGGTTTTCCTTAGATAGAAAACTTTGAATCAATCTGACTGGATGATCTGGTGAACTGTGCCTTGAGAAGACATGATGTGAATTGGTGCTATAGAAATAAACTGAATTGATCCAGGAAGGGAAAGGATGAAGGAAAGTCAGCAGTGAGTGAATCTGAACTGGTTTCTGCTTCAGCAGCATCACCACTGAACATCAGCTCCATGCTGCACATAAAACCAAACACTCCAAATGCTGTCTGAGATCGGCAGCTCACTGGTTTCTGTGCAGAGCATAGATCATCAGGGCAGCTTAGAGTCAAACACATCTAGGAAGAGATTCTATAAACCACCGGTTTTATTGGTTTCTGCCAATAGTATTGATGATGATTCATCATCTGAAGGTCGTTGTTCTGGAACTTTCCGTGTCTGTGCAGAAAAACGCACCAACTGAAAGACAATTCAAAGAAGCCACATTTGATCCTGCAGATGGAGATTCTTCCTCATAATTTAACTGTTAAACATTTAGATCAGGGGTCACCAACACGGTGCCTGGGGGCCCTCAGCTTCTTCTGAAACATTATTTTATTCTGCTGCTCTTCTATTCAATCATTTCTAGATAAATTCATCATTTTAATCACAGACAGCATTTAAGCATTTTAAATCACATTATCTAAAAGAAACAATGAAAATATGTTTATTATGCAGGAAGTTTAGGTGAACGCAGACTCCTCCATTCGTACACCAGTATTGGTAGCCATTTCTATGACTCAGTAGCCATAAAGTAGCCCTCAGACTTAAAAAGGTCGCCGACTCCAGATTTAGATTTTGATCAATGACTGGATGCAATCAGATAGAAACTTAAACCAGTCTGAATGAATCGTCTCTGTAAAGCGCCTCCAGATGACGGGTCGGCATTGTAGAAATAAACTGGACAGAATTACTGTAAATATAGATCTCATGGGAGCACTGAAGCAAAGAATAATTGGCCGTAATGAAAAATGGACAAGTAGCTGCTTAAATGTTTCTTTCAGGAGTAATAAATGAGACCAAATAAAAGACTTTAGGAGGTTTGGACCATTTAGAAACTATGGCCCCACATAGATTAGGTTAGGTTTAATCCCAGAGCTGTTCTACTGTTTAAGCTGCTCATTCAAACTGATCCGTTACTTTGTCAGAAGCATAAATTGGCCTTTATGAGTAACTGACACTGATCGTATGTCAACCATCAGATAACTGACCTGGAACCGATGGCCCGCGTATGAGCACACGC